AGGGATGAGAATCAGTGGAAAAGAACTGTGAAACCCACAGTTGGATGCAACTTTCATTTGAAGTTGAGGAGCAGTAGTCAGAGCTAGGTGGGGATCAGTGAGTAAGGTCATTTTATATACTTACTGAAAGTAAAGCTAATAGGAGTATTTTGATTCATTTTGAGCCCAACATAAAAACTGGTTCTTGAGGGTTGCTGTGGTCAATCCCACAACTGCCTTTACAAACAGGGAAGTCCAGAACTGAGCAAAAACTTTCAGACCAGTCGAAAGCAGTAGCCAAAGAAGGAATCAAAGACTCGTGTTCTTAATGGTGATGTCGATATTTTGTTCCCACTGTTAATCTGAGTTCATATAATTTGTGCTCAAGTCTCCTCTCATTTTTATACGAATCCTGAGTGTCAAGGAAAATGCCATCTTATCTGTTCTTTTCTTTCTTGCCTAGGAATTTAGAAGCTCCTGAAATACCAGTGTATTCTGTGAAAGGTCATAAGGAAATCATAAACAGTATAGATGGTGTAGGTGGCTTAGGAATTGGGGAAGGTGCACCAGAAATTGTGACTGGCAGTCGAGATGGTGAGTTAGTGAACTCTGAAAGTCTTTTCAGTTATTCTGAGAAAGTAGTCTGCAAGCTCTGATGGCAGGGTGCAGTCTGCCATCTGAACTAGTTACAAATCCGTTGCAACTAGTTCTTCATACGCTGTCTTTTGAATCTTGCTTGGGCTAAATTTTCTCTAAGTCTTTTAGAAGCTGATGATAAGAAAAAGATACTGTTGTCACTGAGCATGGGACAGAAGGAATACAAAGCAGAATAAACGCAAAATACCAGCTAGAGAAAATACATTCTTAACATATAAAGAGAAACATATATATATAGAGAAAATATATCGGTTTGCTTTATTTCTGTTTTATTTTTTTCTATCCGCTAAATGCAGTCTGGCTTTCTGGAATTCAAAGAGATGCTCCTGTGTTTTGAATGATCAGGCTGAAAAGCAAAGGCCTTCCCTGAGAAGATGAACGCAACGTGACAGTGTATCCGTAATACAAAATCCATTGTCCTTTTTTCACAGGAACTGTGAAGGTATGGGACCCGAGACAGAAAGATACTCCTGTCGCTAATATGGAACCCGTACAGGGGGAGAGCAAAAGAGACTGCTGGACAGTAGCATTTGGTAATTTATCAGATTATAACTGTTCCTCCCTCTAATACAACTGTGCTTTGACAATTATCAAAGTATTTCAGGATGTTATGGAATAGTTTATTTTGTATGGACCAATCAGTAGGAGGTTTTGCTTTTCAACGTTGTCAAATTTACGTGTGTTTAATGTGTTTTTCAAAAGAAGCCCATTTTGTGATGGCTGGGTTTTGGACTCATTCTCTTATCACCTTTGGTCAATCGTTTCACAGATAAGCTGTGCAAGCTTTATTTCTACGCCTAGGAATGTAAAAACAGCATATCCAGCTGCGTTGTCCTGAAGGACTGTAAATGTTGCAGTGCACACGGAACCAATTGCTGTTGTAGCATAGTTCCAAATATCAAGCATTAAGGCATTAATTTAAGAGAAGATCCTTGAAGCCAAGAGCTAATTAAAGACAACAAAAACGCTTGATGTGTGCTCTGCGTTTTTCCTTTGGAGAGAACAAGCTGCTTGTATTCTACACAAGCTGGTGTTTCTGGATTAGCTCCATTTTTGCCTCCAGAGTCAGGGAGCGAGTTTCACAAACTGCTAATAAGTGCATGGATTATAATAACAAAATTGGTAGTAAGGAAAGGACATTTCCTGGCAAGTAGGTGCAACTGTAATGCTCATTGATGTCTTTGTCTTCTGCTTTGACGAACAGAGAAAAAAGCTGCCTCGTATTTTTCTTCAATTTCCTTTTGAATTCCTGAAGCTTGAGCCAAGGACAGGTTCATCTTGAACTACGTGCTCTGGGCTAACTTCTTTCAGACACTGATGTGCTTTCTTCATCCTGTCAGCTGACAGTTTTTGGAGGCAGGCTTCTGCATCTGTCTAGTGATGGCCATGGTAACATGCGGGGCCTCCCTACGGGTCTGTGTCTGCAGAAGAGTCGTCTTGTCCTATTAATATTTCACGCTTGAGCGGCTGGTTAAGGAACTGCTTTCTGCCATGGTGCTGCCTGGGGAGCACGGTTTATAGCAGATGAAGATTTAGAGAAGGAATGTATTTGTATAGGTTTACAAGAGCAGTGTGCAGTAGTTGGTCTGGCAGGGGGAATAAGAATTTTGTTCACATTTTTAAAAGACCCAGACTGCCAGTTTTGAAGCTATATTTTCTACACCTTTCAGGTTTGAAAACCAGACTGTTCATTAAATCTTAATATCCCAACAGTCATATTTTTCTGGCATAAATGTAAGTTGAAATTGCAGGCTTAGGAGGTCTGAAATTTACAGACTAAAGAGGGTTTCTGTATTCTGATGAATTCTTTCTCTATGTCCAGGCAATGCTTACAATCAAGAGGAACGTGTTGTATGTGCTGGATACGACAATGGGGACATTAAATTGTTTGACTTAAAAACCATGTCACTACGATGGGAGACCAACATTAAGAATGGGGTAAGGAAACCATAAAAGTATTTTTCATTCCAGCTGCTATGCAGGATGGAAAAATTAAAAGGACTCTGTCTACCTGAAATTTACCCAGAAGACATTTCTGCTGAGATTGTACCAAGGAATCGTTTTCTTGAAGTTCACCAAATTGTACCCTTCAAGTTCTTTGTCTGGATAGCATGGGGTATTTTTCAGTAGATTCATGTTTTCAGATGATTTTGTTATTTCCCAATTGGTGATGTTGTCATTGTAAAAATAACCAATGATTAATATATATGTACAAATCACAAACCCCTCATTTTTTTAACAGTGGCTAAATTTCAAGGCTGAATGTATTTTTTTATATTTCCAGGTTTGCAGCGTGGAGTTTGACAGAAAAGATGTAAATATGAACAAACTAGTGGCCACATCGCTTGAGGGAAAATTTCATGTTTTCGATATGAGAACTCAGCATCCAACCAAAGGTTTTGCTTCTGTTTCGGAGAAGGTATGGGGAGACAGAGAATCTCTTAATAAGAGACAAACTTTTTGAATATACGCTGTCGAAGTACTACAGGTCTAAAACTATTGTCTTTGATAGGTAATAGATGCCCAGGTTACTGGGGCACAAGCTGTGTGGTCGTGTGGCTGGTGTGGCCCCAGGTGCAAGCAGTGAAAGGGCCCCTGTGCATCCACCTGCCAGCACTCACTCAGGTTTCCTCCCTTTTATAACCTGATATTTGGGCTTCTCTGCTCTTTGGGTCTTGTTGCAGTTGCACTTCTGTGCACTCAGCTGTGCCCGTAGTCTGGGAGTCATGTTTATTGGAGGCCATATTAAATTGTGATGAGCTTGCAGATTCAAATCTTAAATATATCCCAAAACAAAGTGAGCCCTCTGCAAACGCTTTTCATCCTGCAGTCACCAGACCTCGTATGAGACATAGAAATCATTATTTTTCTTCAGAAACAAACATTTTTGGATTGGGATGCTGAGAGTGAGTGAAAGGATATGTAGGAGAGACTTAGTGGCCTGGAGGCTGTTAAATATGGAGAACTCTTATAACCTTTCTTCTTCCACCTTGTGACCACTGCACTGATTAGTTTTGAGTTCTTTATAAAACGGTAAATTTTTTTTTTTTAGTGAACAAAATCTAATGATAATTAGAGAAAAGGAACTTTTGTGGTGAAGTTCTCCAGGACTGCCTAAATTAGAAAAAGCTGAGTTTCAACTTAATATCTTTAAATTATGATTTTCCATGCCACCATTGAAAGCAGATAAGATGTTGGAAGCACTTTGATTGATAACACAAAAGTATTTTCTGAATTAGTGTTTGTAATAATCAAAATGTGAAAATGGAATTTCTTATCTATCATTGACTGCATTTGAGCTTTTCCTTTTGGACATTTTCAGTCAGACTACATGTGCTGGGGTTTTTCCTTAAGTGATGTCTTTTGCTATGTGATCTTGCTGTTCCCTGCCTGAGATTTAAATTTGGATTGTGGATTGTTTGTTGTGTTCGCAGAGTGTTTGTAGTATATTCCCTTCCAGTAATGATTTTAAGGATGTCAGACGTTGAAATTAACCTTGTGGTGATTGTGTCACCTAAGAGCCTGAGAATCCTGTAGTTCTAGGGCGGTTCCTGAAGACGTGCCTATGCGGCTATTTTACCTCTCTTTAACCTTGCTGACATGGCCAGTCCCGAAGAAGCTGAAGTACTAGGGAGTGGTAGCCTGGGTAGGGCTGCTGCCTTATCCCTGCAGAAGAACGGGGCGCGTTGGAGGCCTGACTTGGCTTCTCCTGCGTGGGAACTGGCCGCTCCTGTGGCAGCAGGTCGCAAGGTTGGAGGAAGGGAAGGTACCTCAGAACGGACATTCCAATATCCACCATGAGAACACTGGGTTCTCTTCATACAAGTGATTGCCGTTTAAGGTTCGGTGTCCTTTCTTGTGAAGCTTAGCCATAACTGACTTTATACAATGCTGATTTTTTTTTTTTTTTTAATTAGGTGCAAAAATCTACCATATGGCAGGTTCGGCACCTACCACAGAACAGAGATATATTTATGACGAGTGGAGGAGCTGGCAGCCTTCATCTCTGGAAATAGTAAGTGATCACTCTCCAGCCTGCAACAGGGGGAATAAGAAACCAACCATTTATTGTTTTAAGAAAGAATCTTCCTGAAAATAATGAGTGGGGTCCTGCTTCCAACCTCAGAATATCTAGTTAAAATTATTACTTACAAACGCAGTAGAAAGGGTGATTTCAGTGTCAGTACTTGATCTGGAATCCTGAATTAATCCCTAAAAGAATGTGACAACAGCACAGGTGAATTTTGCCTTTGTCACTTTTCTTAACAGAATCAAGATCTAATTATATCCTCGGTTAACAAGGTGAGAAATGGAAGAAAATTATTTCTTAAAATTCTCATATATTAGCAGTTCTGTCTGAGAAGAATATTGAAAGCCTCGACTTCTAATGATTTTTAAATTTACATCATCTTACATTACGTGGCAAAATAATTTAATTATCCTAAATGCAGTGAAGTAGGTGCATTAAGTTTCAGAGAGATAGCTGAGATGAAATTTTCTTGCCTGTGGAAAAAGCCAAACAGTTAAAAAATGAAGGGCTGTAGGAGAGAGGTGTCAGGATTCAAAACTTTCTGCCTCATTTTTTTCTTCCATGAAATATTTACTAAGTATGCAGTGTGGATGTAGCTGGATATGATTATTTGTTATTTTTAAGACATTTATTTGCCTTGAGAACAGAGGAACCCCTTCTCTGTGTTCTTTTTAAAATTAAAAGGATAACATGTTTTTATCAGTAAATTCTAAGTGCATGTTTTACTTTTCTTTACTTCTTGCCAGTGAGTACCCAGCTCAGCGCTCGAAGAAGGATTCTGAAGGAGCTGAGATGGGGGTGGCAGGTTCAGTCAGCCTCTTGCAGAATGTGACTCTGTCAACGCAGCCGATTTCTAGCCTAGACTGGAGCCCTGACAAAAAGGGACTGTGTGTTTGTGGTGCCTTTGACCAAACTGTGAGGGTGCTGATAGTTACGAAGCTTAACAAAGTTTGACAGGAAAACTAGAATTTCTGATGAGAAAGCAATATAGTTTGCAGTCTGTAAATATGGGAGAGCCCTCCTGTTTCCAATTTAATTTCTCCCTTATTAAAACTGGATTAAAGAAATAGAAACCAGATCTTTCTATTGAAAGTTCAGATACACGCCGTTAGAGTTGTTTGACCGATTGTGCTGGCATGACTTGAAGTTGCCCGGGCACAAAACTTTCACCTTCTAGAAATGTGAATTTAAGTTTAAAATAAAATGTGCCTTTGTGTTAACGCAACCTGTAATTTCAGAAATCATTTTAAATTGTTTGTGTTCAGTTTAATTACAGTGCAAATCTGTTCACACTTGTTAAATGGTTTGGCTTTTTTATATGTAGTATTGTCCATATGCATTCATGCAATGGAAACTACTATATACTCCCTCACAGAAACTTTGTGTTATTGGATATATTAATTAGAATGTTTGTTAAAGTGACTTAGGATTCTTTAATACACTATAGAAGCTATAATGAATGCTGAAATAGTCAGGTTTAATGGAGTAAGCTTTTTATTGAAGGTCGTATTGAAATTAAAATACTGAGCAAAATGCACTGTTTTATTATTTTAGTTTGGTTTTGTAACAAGTTTTTATGTTCTGTTGTTTTTATATCTGTTTGTAGCTTGGTATTCTACAAATAAAATTATATGGAGTGTTGTCTTAATATGAGCAAAGTATATTTTTCAAACCTTCAGAGATTTAGAGAAGGAATGTACTTGTACAGGTTTACAAGAACAGTGTGCAGTACTTAGATAAAACTTAACTCATTTTGCAGCAGAAGTCACTAAAACTTACCTCCATTGTGAAAAACTTTATAAGGTAGCCAAAGTACTGTCTTTTTTTTTTTTTTTAACAGATTCAGTATTTCTTCAAAACACGATGTGACAGAGTAGCTTTGTTACTGTAGTTTTACCTCAACTTCTCTTTGTAATTTCCCTTATATCCAATATGTTTCTTTTCTGATTTTACCAGCGTGTGCTGCTGCCAGTTCTTTTTAGCAGGCACATCCCGTTACTGTCTTCTATTTGTGGATGTATGGTGGGGGCTTTCTTAATTTCAGTAAGCTCTAATGATTTCATTTGTCACTTCTTGGTCTGGAATTAGCTTTCAGCTGACTTGTATGTGCATATGCAAGTTTCAGGTAAAAGTATTTAACTGTTTCTGAAAGCAGATTGTGATGGGAAAATGTCAGCTTTGTCCAGGTTAACAACCAAAAAGCCCCTGTGTGGCCGTTTGCAAAGACCCTGTGTTTTCTTAGGCTTCGGAATGAGGAATTCGTAGCTGACAAATTCAGGTGAGTCACTTGCACCGTATCAAGCCTGACCTTCCAGGGGCTGCTCCTGAAAACTAGAGGCTGCTCCGCAGAGAGAGGGGCACCAGGGTCTTATGTCTGTACTGGTCCTGCCACCAACTGGCGCCCAAGGAAGATGCAGGAGGAAGAGGAAACAGCCAAATACTGAAGGTTAAGGTAGGGAACGAGGCAAATAGGGGAAGCAGTGTGGAAGGCAGAGACTACTTAAAGTAGAATGGGAAACTGGGTTGAAAGGAGAGGTGAGGAGCTGTAGCAGAAGGGCAACACTAAGGCTGCAAACCTGGCACTATGTCACGTCCTCAGGCTCAGACTTTCTCTGTTCTAAGATTCCAGCTAAATACAAGTGAGATAGAACTGTCCTTATTAACTCCTGGGTATGTTAATTGATTAAACCAGCTGAGGAAAAAGAGCAGGCACCTGTGGGTAGAAAAGGCTCACAGGTGTTAAACCTTAAACCTTGTAGAATGGAGGAATTATTAATGCTTTTGTAGCAGAAAGGGGCCAGCAGGAAAGTTGCAATAGACCATAAACCCAATGTGTCTGTGGAAGTCCATGGTTTTAGTTGGTCAGTGATCCTCAGCTCTAGCCTGCCTTCAAATTTAGGCTCTTGTATCTCGGGTTCAGCAAGGGCCAGCAAGGATGAAAGCACAGTAACTGATAGTAACAAACTGGGAGGTGTCTGAAAATGTAACAAAAGTTAATTTCCGGTAAAGCAGCCTGTAGGTTTCACCAGTGGGAATCCATCCCCCTGTGAAGGAGGCATCTTGCTCAGTGGCTTGGGACCGGGAAGGTGCTCCAGCGTGGCCAGAACCATGGGGATGCCCTGGCGAGGAAGGTTCCCAGTGCTGTGGGCTGGCATCAGAGCTGCGAAGGCTGAGCCCAGAATTTCAAGATCCCTGAGCAAGGGCTCACGAGGTCTGTCCATCTGTCAAAAACGTGCCGTGCTAACCTCTGGTGCAGGTGTACATGCGGGTTTCACGCTGGCTTGGCAAGCAAATGGCAGGTTGCGTAGCATGTTGGAGGTACATAGGTCTTCCAAGGGATGCAGGCTGAATATTTGGTGGAAGGCAAAGATTTATGAGATCCAGCTGTCTCCCCTAAGACTTGATGGTTTGCTTTCAAGTGTAATATTTAGTATATGAATTTTTTTTTTTGACACAAGTAATCCCATCTGCTTGTGTGCATAGCGTAATGCTGAGAGCATATTCTGAAATTATTTTAAATGTTGTCCCTCTTAGGGTGCATCCCAGCAGGAGGGAGTAGGGGGAACTACTGCTCTGCAATCGTGGCTGCAGCTTGCTTTGAAAAGCAAGTGTGGGTGTGGAGTTCAAAGAATCAATTCAAGTGCTTCGAGTCTAAAATGTGCTGTTCAGAGATGGCCTCCATTAGCTCTGTGCTGTAAATAAAATATACTCACTAAATGGTATGCTAGGCAGCAGAAATTTGTGGAAATATGCTTTCTCTCTTCTGAGTCAAGCACAGAGTAAGGGAAGAGAAAGCTTTCAGTATAGGTACCTGTGAGGGAAAACAAAGAACTCAGAGTGCAGGACTGGGCTCTTGGTAGTATTTTTGTTAAGTACTTGGCCTGTAGCAAAAATGTCCCTTCCTTACACAAACAACTCCAGGGAGAGCTCCTAGTGAGCCTACACGATGGTGATACAAATTAGAGCAAGAACTAATAAATAACACTTCTTAAAGCTCCATGGGCCAGCAAAAGATGAAATGTGTGTTACCTCTGAGTACTTAATTTTGGGATTAATTTTATTTGTTCTTTTGAAAATGAAGGAATGCATTTCCCTCATGAGTAGCTGGTTTCATGAAAACACATGATGGTTTGCATGGCAAGAGTTTGCAAAAAGCTAAGAGAGCTGGAGGGAAGTGTAGATGAATGGTAGTGCTGTCCTTGTTCAGGAAAGGTAAGTGGCTGTATCTGTGTACCTAAAAAAAGAAAGATAGTTACTGGCTGGAGAGAAGAGCTGTTGCTAATGCCTATACTATGCTGTATCTCCTCAGCAGACTGGATTTCTGCTTCTCCCAGGCTAAACAAGAAACTTAAGCAGACCAAAAGCTGCCTGTGACAGCCTAGCCTGCTCTATTTATAGTCCTTCCCCCGCTTGCTGAAGACTGGCACCTTGCCTCTGCAGCCTGGAGGGTGAAGAACTAAAGTGTGTTCTAAATAAAATCATAATGCATCAGAGATGACATGCACAGGGACAAATCCCCTCTGATGCAGCACCAAGGAGCACTCTGGAAAACCCCTGCCTTGCCCAGGGCCAGGGAATGGAATGTGCTACCGAGTTTGATGGCTCTATCGCGAGTGACCACATTTAACAAGTATATCTGCTTGGCAGCCATCGCTTGTTTCCTGTGCAAACCATCCTTGTATGCTCATGGAAGAGAAAAATCTGTTTATGGGCATGACTGCAGCCAGAATATAGGTATGTGTTACACCGTTGATTTTGTTTGTTTGGTTGGTTTTTTTTACCAGGTGTTGCCTAAATCCCCAGCTATTACAAATCAGGGTTTTTTCTTTCACATCAGTATAGTTACTTTGACTTTCACCATTTGTACAGGTCCTTGGAGATTACAGCCCTCCAAGGTTTCTGTGCAGGTCATCTATATTTGGCCTACAGTATATAGTTTTCATCACAAAAAGAAAAAATTATGTACAGCTTAGCCATGACTTGGATTGAATTTTAAGTAAAGTAAGGCAAGTTATAAATCTGTAGGGGAAGCTACAATACAGTGCGCTGTCAAGGTGGGTGAAACATCACCTATTGTCTCTGATTTTCCAAAGTTCAGCTGTGATATAGAAGGTATTCAAAACCAGAATCGCCAACAAAAGAGGCACAACAGAAGAAAGGACTCAGGAAGAAGTTAAGTAGCATGCCAGCATTTGAGAATTTACCCAATGAAGTCAGAACGGCTCACGTGTGAACTGTATTAGTTTATAACTAATTACTGCTTGTGCCATCCAAGATAGCAACTGTAACTCTGAAGGGCAGAGTTGAAGCAGGGAATAAATGGCAAACCTGTGAAATGCACAGCATATACTAACATTTGGAAGTGCACATGCCCTTGCCCCTTCACAACCACTGATGCTGCTAGGGACATCACGGAACTGGTGCACACAAGACAGACAGGGAATTGTGTGGAAGACAGACATCTGTCCTCCAGTGATAACTTCAGACACAGCAGATACAGCTTGCCAATACAGTTCAGTTCATCTTCCCTAAATTATTGCCATCGAATATATTTGATAGCAAATAGGGATTGTTTGGCTAAGCTGACTGATTTGTAAGTAAGAAGCTACTAACTTGTGTCCTGCATATTCATCACTGTAATAAAGTTGTCTAACTGTAAAGTTGGTATCGACAAACTGCCAGAAAATACGTTGATTTACTACTTTTTCCCCAATGATTAAGCCTGCATTTTCTTGCTCCTGATGCTGTTACTGCTGTATTTTCAGTAGTAGGCACTCTGAACAGAACAACTGCCCACTCCTCAAAGAATCTCCAGATCACAGTCCGTATGTCTAGAGTGTATTTAAAGCCTTTGTGCATGCAAGATATTTTGCAGTAGCAAATACAAGTCCCAGGACTTTAGGCAAGGGCAGCTGTTAACTCAGGCAGGAGCTGAGAGCTGAATCCTTCCGTGTGCAGTGTAAAGCATGGCTACGGGACTGCCTGCGGCAGTGCAGGTTCAGCCCAGAGGAAAGACCAGACGGGATTTCTGTGGAACTGGGCCAGAGCTATTTGGTGACTTGGTGATGTGGCCAGTTCGAGCCTTGGCCGTAAAAGGTTTTCATTCCTTGATGGCCTTTTTGGGAAGACCTGCTTCTTGCTGCACAGCCTGCCCTTGCAGTTGTACAGCACTGTCCACAGAGGATGCTGGAAGAGGGTCAGTGTTGCTTGATGGCTGCAAGAGCATCTAGGGTCCCAAGGGCAGTGAGTAGCTGCCCCATGCTCTGGCCTTCCTCCTCCTCGGCCACCAAGAAGGTAATTGCCAGCGAAGAGGCAAAGAAGTTTTGCAGGACCCTGCAGCAAAGGGGATCACAGCAGAATCTCTCTTCCCTATAATACTCTTCAGTGTTACACTCTTAACTAGTTGATCTGGGCCAACTAGCAACTGGCCCAATAATTTGCTGCTGTGGTTCAGGACTGTAGCATGAGCAGAGGCTGTTCCAAATAGGCAGCCTGCGTGTGGCAGCCCTGCTTTGGAGACCAGTTCAATTTAACGGTATGGTCACAAGCGATGCCAATTGGTCCCTGAGCCAGAAAACAAGCCCGTTGCCGTTTAGCTTAGTAGTACAGCTACAGCCCGTGGGACTGTGTTTGCTCTGTGTCTGCTCCAGTTT